CAAACGTCCAATATCCAGTGAAGACTGGAACCATGCAGAACAATATTAATGAAAAGCAATAGTTAATTTATTTACATGTCCCAGTAAACTGGTCTTCTGTTCTCCTCTACGAGCTCAGAAAAAAACTTGCTTCTGAAAATTTTCAGAGTAGATAGCCTCCCATCGCTTTCTCCTGCCCCAGGAAATCAGACCTCTGAGATTCCATATGGACCCTTGCTAATGAAGAGCAAAGAAAATGAAGATGCCTCTGTCTTTACAGTGCTTTTTCCACGGCAACATTAAATGAAGGAACTTTTATTAGATATTCCAGGGCCAAAGGTAGAAATGGAGATGAGTGGGAATAAGAGATGAGCATATTAGGAGATATTCCAGCATATCCCAGCTCTTTGGCATAAATACTTAGTGACTTTCAGGACAGCAATTTCAAAGTAGAAGAGCAGGGTTTCTAGGGCACTGAACTGGCATCCACTCCTCCAGCCAAGAACATGAGTCAGTCCTGGCAGGGAGCATCCTTGGCTAAGTCTGCCTGATGAGCCAGCTGTTCTGGCCTTTTCTTTTGCTTTGCATAATTTTTAGGCAGATCAGCGTATTTTTCAACAGAAAAAAAAATTCTGGAGCTTGGCAAGTCAAATCTATAGAGATTAATGGTCCTTTAGTTTGGGACCTAATTAATTGACTGCAATGATGAATATGGCTAAGAGCTGCAGTCTGCTGCTCCTAGCCTTGCTGAGCACACCCCACCCAGGTAACCATCATGGAGTCACTGTCAACCAGAGAAGCTCAGGCTGTCCTCTTTACAATTCACAAGGAGAGTAAGACACATTCATTTAAAAGCTAAGAGGAAGTTCTGATTAGGATTCAGAGCTTCCTATCCCCAGGGAGCCTGAGGAAATGGGAAATCAGCAGCCTGTTCAGGAGTAGGGTGGAGCCTGTCAATGAGGAAACCCAAGAATCTCACATTTTCCATCTGTCCCCTGTTCCCATACACAGGACCTGGTTACAGCAAGGGACTCTAAAATTGAAAAAGCACCACACTAGATGTCAAGAGCACTGACTTAAGTCCCAAACCCCTAAAATTGGTTTGGGAAGACACGGAACAACTATGAACCTCAATTTCCTTCCTGTAAAATGGTTAAATAAGAGTCATTAAAAAGTTCTTCCTGTGGTGCCCTTGTGTACTGTTGGTGGGACTCTATGGGAAATAGTATGGAAGTTCTTCAAAAAATTAAGCATAGAGCTACCATATGATCCAGCAATCCTACTTCTGGTTATATGCCTGAAGGAAATGAGGACAGAATAATAGCAAGAAGATATCTGCACTCCCCATGTTAAATGCAGCATTATTCACAAGAGCCAAGATATGGAAGCAACTGAAGTATCCATCAACAGAAAATGTATGAAAATGTAAAAAAAAAAAAGTATGTATGTGTTTATGTATATGTATGTATATACATATACACATACAGATGCACGTGTACATATGTGTACATGTGTATATGTATACACACACTATGGAATTCTTATATGTGTGTATATAAAATGCAATATACACATACAGTGGAATATTATTCAGCCATAAAAAAAGAAGGGAATCCTGACAATATTCATAGACTATGAAAGAATCAGGCTAAGTAAAATAAGTCAGACAGGAAAAAAACTAATACCACATGGTATCACTCACATGTGGAACTAAAAAGAAAAAGAAAAAAGGCCAAAAGTTCAAGCTCATACAGACTGGAGGGTGGGAGGGATATGAAGAGGTTGGTAAAGGGTACTTTCAACTCTAAGATGAATGAGGGCTGAGGAACGAATGTAAAACATGATGACTCTACTGAACACTGTATTGCATAAGTGAAGTTTGCTAACAGAGTAGAACTTAAATGTATATACAAACACAAACACACACACACGAGATGATGGATGGAGGTTGCCTTTCATAATTTACACTCATACCAAATCACCATGATAGAGCTTTTAAATGTCTTACTTTTTTTTCAATTATACTAAATAAAGCTGCTTTTAAAA